AGGGTAGGGGTAGGGGTAGGGGTAGGGGTAGGGGTAGGGTTAGGTCTAGGCCTCTTCTTTATTGAGTTTGATGGGGTGGTCGCTCGTTACGGAAGTCCTTCCATATATATATAATAATCTGATTTCAGAGCTAGAATTATTTAATATAGTAAGTAGTATATTTAATAGTATTAAAACATCCTTTTTTTCTCACCGCGATGTTGAGGATAGAGGTACAGCTTCCTTGGCTGGTTTCGCCGCCGCCGCCGTGATTGATCTTTAAGAAAAGATCAGCCCAAAAATCAAACGACGCCTTCCAGCTTGCAGCTCGTCCACTGTTTGATCTCTCCCACACTTTGAACCGAGCTTCCACTTTCCGGCAGATATGAAGGCAGCCAGCGAATCCAAGCACAGGGTGGTACACAATATATTAGTTTAGACGTAGATCTAGATGGACCGCAACCTGATTTACCACTGAACTAGTTGTATCCGTGACGCCAAGTTAGTCTTCTAAACTAAAAAATCTCAACTAGAATAGCACAGTTTCACCATTGAAAACAAATCATGTAAAAGCAAAAGTAATGTCGCAGTTCCTTTATAAACTTCTGAGGAAAGAAGAACAAAGCACTGCTGATTCACGGACAACGAAATGTACTGACATAGATTCTAGTCGACTTTGGCTAGATCTAAATTCTAAATTATGTGGCCTATCCGTTTCGCAAAAAAATATGAGCCAAAAAATTCGTTCCCCTTCTCTGGAGAGCCAGCACAGCTGTAGTATAGGAGTATAGGCCTACAGTAATAGTAGTACAGTAATAATCACTTATCTAGAATCTAGCAGTCAATGTTACATGATCAATAAGACAAGACACACTCTCTCCATTATTGACAGGACAAAAAGACCTCGCTTCAAAACTGGAGCCAGTGGAGCAGAGGAAGATGAGGAAGGTCAGATGACTGCTACTCTAGATTCTAGATCCTAGATTCTAGTCTTATCATGATGGCCTATCTGATCATGATGAAGGAAATGCTATAAGGATCTCCACAAACCTAGCCTAGTACACACACAACAGTCGCCACTGACTGAGCTCTCGCCAATAGTCGATCTCTCTGACGTGACACTAGAATCTAGATCTAGATCTAGATTCTAGATCTAGATCTAGATCTATCTGATCTCAACGTAGGCTAGCCTACCCTACCTCTCTACAAAACTACTTTCTAGATCTAGATTTGGTAGTAGGCCTAGTCTAGATTTAGATCTCTATTCTAGATTCTAGAGCTACCGGGCTACACTCTAGCTTCATCAGCCATACAAGGTGGACTTGAGTTCACACTGAGCTGAGCACTTTTTTTGCGGTAGGCTAGACTATGACAGATTCAAAACTCAATGACAATGAACAATGCCGCCTACACTTCCCTCAAGAAACATAAACAAGGCGGAGAAACACAACAAATCGCCAAATCCGCATCAAAGTCCAATAGCCAATGTTGGCCAGAAACCCTTACCCAGGCCTAATCTTCCGATATTTCATCCACAATACAAGAGAATAACACAGGAAACACAGTAGGAATCTCCAATATTCAAGAATAAAATGGTAGACACAACTACAATCTGATGGAAGAAGATCAGCACATAATTTGACGACAAACTACCTGGAACCAGTTCCTTGACTGTTGCCGCAGCTCGTAGGCTAGCCTAGTACACCGAGGCTAAATTGATACCAACCAGCACAGCCAACAGCTCTTTCCGACAGGTGACAAGACAACCAATGAGCGGTCGCGACCTCGATAACCTATTTCATTCGCGTGTCAACCTCAGTGCACATCAAATTCCTACGTCTAATTCAATTTTATTCGACACTTTATTCTTACCAACAGAACAACAAACCAGAACTACCTATGCACAAAACAGAAATTACGCTGAAAGCAACCAGAAATTCAGACAACATGGGCGTTTTCCACCGGTACCTTGTTCAGTACTTCTTCAACACTCCGCGAACATACCCTCGGTTTCGCACAGGTTCTGTTTACAGCTCTCAAGTCACATGCCCTAGAGCGTGAGAGAATCGGGCGAGCTCGCGAGCTGAAGTTATTGATCGAGTGAAGGTGTGCGCATCGGTGTAGAGGAACAGACATCCACCATTAAATAATAACATATATCTCTGCTAACTATAGAATTACACTATAAGGTCTAAAGGAGATAACTCTGTGATGATAACAAGATCGGTTGTCTGTTGATAGGGTTGATGCCAAGGAGATTAAAAGTAAGATTAGTTCTAAACTTCTTGGTTGATGCTCATCTTTTGAAATCAATTCGCCTTGATAACGTACATATGCCCTTAATCTTTTTCAAAAAGATTATTATTGATTGTCCATGCTTCGAACACGTATAATAGGATTGGCTCGATAATAATGATATTTAATAATAATATTAATTATAATAATAATGATAATAATAATAATGATAATAATAATGATGATAATAATAATAATAATAATAATAATAATAATAATGATGATGATAATAAATAATAATAATATTATAATTATAATAATAACAATAATAACAAGAACAAACAGTCCCCTCAAGGGAAATAAACTTATACCGCCTGTGTGCGACTGTGAAGCACCTACAACTGTTACACAAGGAGTTTACAGTGGTTCTAAGCTCCTTGCTGTTACACCACAGGCACTGGTTGGGCTCTCTTTGGTCACTAACTAAAAAAATTAAATAGATCTATATATTTTTCCAAGACCTTGTCTAAACCAAAAATGTCATGGTCTAGAGGCCAAAAAAAAATTGTGCATATGTGTACTTGTGTGTATAATATATTGTGTTCTATATTATATAACATGTAGTCCTACAGTACAGATTATTTTATGAGTAAACGTATGTGTGTATCCCATCAATATTCATAAGACGTGCCTGCGTGCGTGTGCGTGTGTGTGTGTATATATGTGTGTGTTGTGTGTATGTGTACATGTGTGTGTGTGTGTGTTTTGTCATATGTGCTTGTGTGTGCGTCGTTTGGGGTGTGTGTGTATGTGTGTGTGTGTGTGTGTGTGTGTGTGTGTGTGTGTGTGTGTGTGTATTTGTGTGCGTTGTTTTTTTTGGGTTCAAATTCATTTTGGATAATGGGGGCTCTCGTGGCCTAGAGGTTAAGGTGTTGGCCTCTCATTCAAAGGGTCCTGGGTTCGAATCCGGGTAGCGACCGAAAAATGTTCTTCTCTAAATTTGTCTCCTTTCACCTCTTTTCCTGCTCTCTAGCAATGTTCTGTCGTCTGTTTTCGTCTTCTCTTTCTGCCCCCACCCCCTCACCTCCTTTGCCCCCTCCTCTGGGCTCCTGATTCTTTCTGCAGCCTTTCTACTGTTACTCCTTCGCTTCTTCTTACTGCTGTCTTTCAGCCACACCCCTGATCTTCTGGTAGGAAAGATCTACACCTAGCCTTCTCGGACAAGGGCGAAAAATCTCTGAGGCCCCGTGTGCAAGTTGCGCACGTTAAAGATCCCTTGGTGGTCTAAATCGATAAGAGTAGGCTTCAGCCGCCACCCGAGCAAAATTCAAAATTTCCTACCAACTGAAAATATTAGGTGTGTCCAGCGCGCTCATATGACCTTATGCAGTTGCGAGCGCCGTAAAACACTTAACAGAAACAAAAACAAACATCTTGGATAATATACTCACTGTTGAATTTTTACTTCCCACCAATATGAAATGTATAAATATACAGTACAAGTCATGTATGCTGTTTGTATATTCCTTGATAATGCGTTCATCATATTCTGTCGACTTTTATCTGTGGCGTTATTCAATAAATCCATTAGTCTCTATGTTTTAAAGTAACACGTATCCAAGCCGACAGACACAGTACTCGATTTGTATCATATGCTTTTTACCAGTCTGGGTTGTTAGCCCTGAGCTGAACCTCCGAAACCTGGAGGGCCGGTGGATCACGCCTCGTCTGACCTCTACCCGTTGACCTGTCTGGCATGGGTGGCCCTACCAGGAGCATTAGCTCCAGCCAGCGTAGCTCTTGGGGTTACTGAGGCACACAAGCTCTCTAACCACAACAAGGTAGTGATCCACTAGAGAGTCTATTTAGATCTCTATACTATCTAAAAAACGTCCCCTGCACTGGAATCGAACTGAAACCTTCTGTGTGCGACGGCGAGGCCTGTATATACTGCTATGGTTTAGTTTTAGTAAGAGTTTTAGAGCACTTGCAACACAATAAGGTCATATAAGTGCCGAAGATTAGAGGTGTTACAAGGGAGTAACAAATACAAAAAAGAAGGGGAAGAGGTCAGGATGATTGATAGATGTTTGATAGGAAGGAGCAATAAACCACACCAGAGCACCCGCCAACCACCCACGTAGCCTATACTACTATATAACACCACATTCTCTGATATGTCTGTGCGTAAGCCATGGAAATAAATGTGTTACCATGTAGATTACGCTGTATAGTCTAGCACTACTTGTGTTTTGTTATTTCTTTTTTTCGTTTCTGAATCCAGTTAGCCAGTTAGTAAGGTCTTAAACCAAAGACCTAATTGCTCTGAAAAGTAAAAGACACAAACGCAGCAAACTTTTATTATAGTGCTAAAATTCCCTCGACACCGGAATTTCACGGAGATTCCCGAGTAAAAACAGCCAAGGCCAGCAGAGGAGGAAAGATCTAAAAATAGCCGACCCATTTCTCGTGACAGACACTAACACTAACAGACCTCGAGTTCCTCGAGTGCCATGCGTAGTGAGAAGGCGAGGAGAGCAACAATCTGTTGATTACAGAAGTACAAGAGGGTTGTTGACGGACCAACTGTCACTGGCTACTGACTGACTTCGGCTGCTGGCGGCATTGAAAGATAGGCGAAGAGACAGCACGTAGCCTATTTCCGGCATTGAAAGTAATGAAAGTCAACGATGACTAGGCTAGGCTAGGCTACGACTGAATTGACGTCAAAACGCATAACTGATGAAACCAGCCGAGAGATGGTAGGAGAGAGACAGAGAGAGAGACAGAGACAGACAGAGACAGACAGAGACAGACAGACAGACAGACAGACAGACAGACAGACAGACAGACAGACAGACAGAAATAGATCTAAAATTAATTCATCGAACCTTAAATTATTGTGACTCAACGTGCCTATGGAAAAGGATTATATTAAATTAGGCATGGAATCTAATTTAATATTATTTGATAATTTTGTGGGCCAGGCTTATTTGAATGTCGGAACTTGGAAGCGAAGGAAGCCTAACAGTTTATTAATTCGTGTTTGAACAAACCTGGTCTTTCATCGAGGTGGATTTCTTTCTTTAAAAAGAAAAGCAACAACATACAAACCCAAATGTGTCTGTTTAACACCGAGGAACATTGATAATTGTTATTAGCTGATTTTATACTAACTAGTAACTAGCCTAAAGCCTGTGTACAACCAGAGAGTTTACAGTAATACTACTGTAGTAATAATATTACTGTAAACCCTCTCCGGTACAACGAATGAACGGAGCTTCCCACATGAAAATGAATAGAATCTAGGCCTAGGCCTAGGCCTACCAAGGTAGTGTGGATTTGCAAGTCTGCCGGATCACTGTCCGCTATTTTAGGCTTATATGCAACTCTTAAGGTGGGGTCAATCCATCTTTAACGTCCATCACCCCTCCCCTCTCTCTCTCTCTCTCTCTCTCTCTCTCTCT